AGAGGGGACATAATAACAGTTTTCAATACTGAAAAGGTTTTACAAGGAGGAAAAAGAAAAATTATTCTCCTTAACCTCTGATGAAAAGACAAGAAGCAATGGACTTAAATTGCAGCAAGGGAGGTTCAGGTTGGATATTAGAAAAAACTTCCTAAGGCCAGGTCTACATTGGTGGAGAAAATCAATGCAAGATATACAATTCCAACTACACAACTGCGCAGGTGGAGTTGACATACTTTACATCAATTTTCTGAGATAGCCCCACAGCAGGAAGTTGACAGGAGAAACTCTCCTGTCAACTTCCCAATTGCGACTACTGCGGTTGATGAGGGTGCCCTCAGCATTCAATTTAGTGGGTCTTTAGTGGGTCTTTATTAGACCCACTAAATTGAACACTGGAAGATTGGTTGCAGGAGCATCGATCTCCTGGTAAGTGGAGATGTGACCTAATTGTCAGGGTAGTTAACCACTGGAATAAATTGCCTGGGGAATCTTCACCCTTGGAGATTTTTAAGAGTAGGTTAGACAAACACCTGTTAGGGATGATTAAAATGGTGCTTGGTCCTACTATGAGTGCAGGGGACTAGACTTAATGATCTCTTGCGGTCCCTTCCCGTCCGATAAGTCTATGCTATCTTTAAATAACAATCAGTGTTGTTTCATGAGTCTCAAAGGGGTACCCCTTTAAGTTGTAACTTAAAAAAAAACGTAAAAAATTAGTGGTCCTGTAGCACCTCAGAGACTAACAAAAATATAATATAGCATCATGAGCTTTCATAGGCACAACCCACTTCTTCAGATAATCATTTTTTGTTAGTCTCTAAGGTGCTTCAGGACCACTCGTTTTTAAAGTTTTTTTTGTTTTGTAAGTCAATAAATACCACCCAGTGGAACCTTCCAGGCCTTTAAAAAAATGGAGTAGGTTAAAATGGAATAATTTACAATGTATTTGTGCCATAGAGTTGTCCTTTTTCAGTTTAAGAGTATTGCCTCATAGCTATAGCAGGACGACACCACTGGTGGTGATGTGAAGGGTATGTGTAGCTACATACTGCAATAAAAAACAGGCTATGTCCACACAGAGGTGTGTACTTACCTGTGGCAGTGACAGGCTCTGGCAGGAGGGAGGCAACTCTCTATTGCCTGGAGGCTTTCCCCACTGTCTTTCCTCTGACACAGCCTTTCCTTGGGGCTGGAGATTGTCCCTCTGCTTGGGAAAGACTTCGGCAACAGGAAGACAGCGGGACACTACCCTGCTATTTTTAGCCCCTGTTTTCGCATATAGAGAGCTATGTACAACATAGAGCCCTAGGGTTTAGGTGTGTCTTTACTCACCTATGCAGTCTCTCGCTGGCTCCACTGCTGTGCATACACATGCCAGGATGTGTGCAATGTATGATTTCTACATTCAATCATAAGTGTAGACATACCTTGAGAGAGAGGCTGCCTGTTTTGTATACTGGACCTGCCATTGATATACTCTGAGCCTATTCTGGAGCTGCTGAGCCACTGGTGTCAATGTGCTCAGCACATTTCAAGATGAGGCCCTCATGAGATTTTTGACAAGTAGCTTCACCTCTTTCTGCCTCTTTTTCCTTGTATTCAAAACAGAGATGAGAACTGCCTACCATCAAAGAGCGTCACAAAGCTTAATTAATGGTCATGAAAGACTAAGATTCTTGCATAAAAGGTGTACCTACAGAAATGCAAAGTACTAGCTTTAGTAATAGTAACAACAACAACAAGCTACTGTATGCATTTGATTCAAGAGGTGACTATTCCACTAAGGCTAAGGGGACTAATGGATGAACCCTAAGAAGAAAATACACCACACTGAGCCTATATCTACACTCTAGCCCCAATCGATGCTCTCAGATCGTTACATCAGCAGTTGATTTTGTGGGTCTAGTTAAGACCCACCAAAATGACCACAGATCACTCTGCAGTCAACCCCTATATTCTATTCCATACGATAAGAGTAAGGGAAGTCGAAGGGAGTATTTCTCCCATCAACAGCCCGCAATGTAGACCCTGCTGTAAATACAATCTAACGCACATCCAGCTATGTTATTCACATAACTGGAGTTGCGTAACTTAGGTTGACTTTCTGCAGTAGCGTAGATGTAGCCTTAAATCACAGCTGGAGCTGTGCCCTGTAGTCTGGATATGTGCAATAAGAAATCCCTATATCAGCTGTACTACTGATACACTGTGGTGGCTACCCAGACTCTGTAAGAGTGACATACATTGACTAGATATACTGCAAAACAATTGCCATGATACAATGCTAAAAAATAGACTGTATGGTTTGCAGTAGCATCAAGTGTCTATTCAAGTGTAAAAAAAAATTAATTGACTCCATCTGTATTGGGCTAATGACTGATTAAATGACTAATCACGGAAGTCTTAATTAAAACCATTTTTCTGTACAGAAGAGGATGGGGGAGGTAGGTGCTCATTAATGTGTTACAATGTGTGTCAGATTCCGTTTGTGTAATTTACTAAGAGCCGTCAAATGAGTAATTATGCACAAGGTCATTTTGTGTAAACTTTTTGCATACATCATCAGACTGACTGGATTAGATCTTGGTGCTCGACTGGGTTTTGCATGTGGCTGCATTTTTCTATCACAAAATAGACAATTAAGATTGCTGAGAATAACCAATAAAAGAGGTTGACATTTCTTCCACCTCCCTTTTCCCAGCCCCCAAGCCAGCCAAAACAGTCTTGCTAGACTTTCATGTATTGTTGGGTAAAGCCCCTATCCATGTTTACTAAATCAGGCCCATCCTCAGCAGCTGACACATTTTAAGATTATTCAGGAACTGACAGTGATATCTATCATATTATGAAATTCAGTAATATGCAAAGAATTTCTCTACATGAATCATATGACCAGGCTACTAAAAAAACAGTCCTTTTTAAGTAAAGGAAGATGGCAGTGTAAAATTAAGAGATTATTTTAGATTTTATTGGCCAGTCACTTGACTACCCTGATGCTTAGTGACCTTTGCTATGGAAAAATAACAAACTCCCTTTGCTTTGACAGCTGAGTGCAATCTATTTAAAACAATATATGAAAATACAAGTAGTAGAATAAAAAAGGTACATCTTGAGCATTAAATAAGCCAACTTTCTATTTGCATGTAACTCTATCTATACTTTTTAATGAGAAGTGTTGCATATAAAATGCTACAGCTGTGTTAATGCAAGGGAGGAATATAAACTGAATAAACTGTAATATAGAAATACATTGTTTGCTCTGACGTCCTCCAGTTTCTAACAAGCCACTGCTTCAGCCACCAGAAAAAATGTTACATCATAGTTCTAACACAGCACTGCATGTCTTTTTTTTTTGTAAATAAAGCAATAAATACATTGTGTGGGTGTTTGTGTGTTTGTTTAAATAAGATAATGTGTTGACAGTTTCTTATTCAGCCATGTTACTACTGTAGCAATGTAAGTGCTCAGTCCCAGACATTATTCCCATAAGTTTGGGAATGATGTCAAGTGTGGACTACTGTGACGGGGCGGCCCTGCCCCGCACTAAAGCCCAGGGAAACCACCTGGAGCAGGGGGTGGAGAGGGCCACACCCACACAGCCCTACTGGGCATGCTCCGAGGGGAGCCAAGATATAAAAGGCTGGACCCAGGTGAGCCGAACTATGCCCCGGACGGGGGTGGCAACCCCAAACCAATGGGGAGCCCTCTGACACATGGTGGAGAACGTGGGTACTCGACCCCGCCCCTGGGCAGAGGGGCTGGCAAAGGGGGTTGGTAGACCAGGGCGAAAAAGGCCCCGGAGGTGGAGGGAGTGGTTACTGGCTTGGCAACAGCAGCAAGAGATGTGCCTCACCGGACTGCAGAGGCAGCTGGCGGGGTTACGGGACCGACAGGACTGCTGGGAGCAGAAGGTCTCAGGCCAGATGGGGGCCTGGGGAAAGGGGGGACCAGAAAGGGGGCCTGGAAAGGAGGAGCCCCTCATGGTTTGCCCCTTTGGAGCCTGGAATAGAGCCAATAGACCACATGCTGGTGAGACTCAGGGTAGAGGGGATCCCCATGGTGGCACTGGTGGACTCGCGGTGTAGCCAGACCCTGGTTAGGACAGACCTAATACCTGACCCCAAGCCAGCTGGGGCCACCATCTAGTTGTTGTGTGTCCACGGGGACGTACGGGCCTACCCGACAGCTTGGGTGCAGCTAGATGATGGCCAGGATGCCGGGGTCTACAGCGTGGGGTTGATCCCGACGTTAGCCTACCCGGTGATATTAGGCCGAGACTGGAGAGGCGTAGGCCGGGTGCTGCGAGAGTGGGGTCAGCAGTCAGCACAAGGGGCCGGTCCCCCTTCACCCAACCTGAAGGAGGCCGGTCTCACCGCCAACCCACGGAAATGTCAGCTGGGATGCCAGGAGGTGACCTACTTGGGGTACACTGTCGGGCAGGGGACGGTATGACCACTAATAGACAAGGTGAAAGCAGTGCAGGAATGTACAACACCTACGACAAAAAAACAGATACGCCAGTTCTTGGGACTAGCAGGATATTATCGCCGGTTCATTCCAGATTTTGCGAATATTGCAGCCCCCCTATCAGACCTCACTAAAAGTACCCAGCCAAATAAGGTGCGATGATCAGCAGAGTGCGAGGGGGCCTTCAGGGCCCTGAAGGACAGACTTACGAAAGCCCCTGTTTTGTTCCACCCGGATTTCTCAAAGCCTTTTCTGCTGCAGACAGATGCTTCTGCAAGGGGATTAGGGGTGGTCTTATCCCAGCAAACAGAGGGGGGGGGGAGCACCAGATAGTATACCTGAGCCGCAAGCTCTTCCCACGGGAACAGAACTATGCCACCATAGAAAAGGAGGCACTGGCAGTGAAGTGGGCTATAGATGCTCTCAGGTACTATTTATTGGGAAATACGTTTCAGGTGGTAACGGACCATGCCCCCCTGAGGTGGCTAAATAGCATGAAAGAGACTAACCCCCGTCTAATGCGATGGTACCTGTCTTTGCAGACTTACGACTTCAGTATAGCCCATCATCCGGGGAAGACCCACACGAATGTCGATTTCCTTTCCTGGGTGGGGGAAGAGGAGATGGGAACAAGCAAGGGGGCAGGTACCCACTAAGGGGGAGGCTGTGTGACGGGGCGGCCCCACCCTGCACTCAAGCCCAGGGAAACCACCTGGAGCCGGGGGGTGGAGAGGGCCACACCCACACAGCCCTACTGGGCATGCTCCGAGGGGAGCCAAGATATAAAAGGCTGCTGGCCTGCTCAGAAGGGGCAGACCACGGCCCGAGTTGGAGCTAGCACCCAGCTGCCAGGACTGCTGAACGCGCTGCTGCCAGGCCCTAGCCGGGCTCGCCCCCAGTGACGGAGCCACCGGCCGGCCCCCCGCGCCCCCGGG